ATATGTGGTCTCTTGGTAAGGTTCATGGATACCTTCTTCTAGTTGAGAAAGTCACATGATAGATAATTAACGTTGTGTAAGAATGATATTTCTTTGTATGTTAAGGTTGCTGCATGTTTGAGATTGCTGGACATCAACCTGCATTTCGTGCTCCAGTAAGAACTTTCTGCAGGAATTTAGTTTTATCAATGGAAACATGGTCTCTATTCTTCAATATATTTTAAACTAGCAAAACAATTAAGACATGCTTGAATGAATAAAACAGGACATGGCTGGACTTATCAATAAAATAAACAGATCCTGCATTTCTCCCCTGCCAATTGTTTATTCTTCCACACTGTAAGTAACATCCTCAAACCATTCCCAGTCACTCTACTGTCATGATATATTTTTAACCTGTGCTTTTGGTGTTCAATTATTTTTCCTTGTGACAGGAAACAACTTATCAAGAGCATGCTTAGAAAAAATCCAGAGCATAGGCCAACCGTGAGTTCAACTGAACCTATCTTATGTTGATTCATTTTGATGGAATTGCGGATTCTAATGATGTTTGTCTTCATTGACAGGCGGCTGAATTGTTAAGGCATCCGCTTTTACAACCTTATGTTCTTCGTTGTCATAATGCATCCTCTAATATTCTTCCAGTATATCCCATAGTTAATTCAAAGGATAAAACAAGAAGATCTAATAAATCTAGTGGTGGCAAGGACCATAAGGACAAAGAAGCAAGCTTAGTAAATCGTTTGGAACGGATTCATCCAATTGAGGGAAATGGAGATATACTCGTAAGCAATCTTCCTAATGATGCTGTTACCATCTCAACCAGTGCAGAAGACAATATTGAGACCAGGATGGTTGATCTTACCAGCTACATAGTGGAATCTTCTACTAGTATTAGCGGCTCAAAAGATGGGTCAACAACATCTGAATCAACTATTTGCAGTGTGTGCAAGGAGGACTTTAAAGGTAGACCTGCAAGGGAAACGAATAACAACGAAATCTGTTTAAAGAGTTCACAAGAATCACTGCATGAGGAACAGATATTTGCTGCTAAACATTTTCATAAATTAGAAGATGTCATTAATGCAGTGAACCCAGAAGTTGAAGACGGTTCTTGCAATGAAGGTTTGGACAATGCTGAAGCACCAAGGGAAGATTCGAGCCTTGACATCTCTGGTAAATCAACAATGTCCAGTGCAGGCAGTAGCAGCACTGATAAAGATAAGTCCATCAATGAGGAAAAGCCATCACTAACTGTGAATCATATTACGGTCGAACATGATACCGAATCTGGAAACCAATTGAATGTATTTACAGAAGGCTCACACATGAACGGCTTGACATCTGATTGTAATGATGCACGTGGAGTTAAGGATGACGACACAGCTAACAGACACATTCTCTCCACGCATAAAGATGATAACACGGTGGAGGTTGATCAGACAAGTGGCGTTTCATTGAGTGTAATAACAGAAGTCGTCGGGGACGAGACAAATCTGTTGGATAGTCCCTGCCAACAAAGAGCTGATGCTCTGGAATCTCTGCTCGAATTATGTGCTCAGCTACTCAAGCAAGATAAACTTGAAGAGCTTGCTGGGATTCTGAGACCATTTGGAAAAGAAGCTGTATCATCAAGAGAAACAGCAATATGGCTGGCAAAAAGCCTCATTTCTGCCCAAAAATTTAATCCTCAGACCTAGTTACGAGAGGTTCTGGTTATAAGTTTATAGATTATTGTAAGAAACGTGTAATTCAAATGTTACATGAGTTTGTTCCGTTGGAGATTGTTGCATGGTTGAAGATTGGAGACACGAAGATAGCTTGCCATATCTTCTTTCTTGGTTGTGGTAAGTGGTTATAGTAAATGAATTAAATTATTTTAGTTAGGTTAATAGTCATTTGTGCTTGTTTTCCAGCAGTTTATGCGTCATTGATTGTATAAATTTTTTACTTCCCCTTTTCCTAACTAAAAGGTAACCATGAATATCAGATCTTCATGTTTTATTTATTTGGTTTATTTGTTATTCATGACCTATAAACATCTAAGGGTGGTCAACACTTGCATTGTTGCATTTGGACAGTGAAATTGTTACAACATACAAAAAATGGAGACAAAATTGCTATCAATAGACTACTTATTAATTATAGGTTTAATACATCATTTGGTCCCCTACTTTTAAGGGTTTGACTCAAAGTGATCCTAATTTTTAAAAAAGTTCAGTAAGACCCCATATTTCGTTAAAAAATATTCAATCAGGTCCTTTTCGCTCACGCCGTTAAAAACATAACGGTGCAAATGACACTATGGCCAAAGAGTTGTAGAGTTTGATGAATACGTGGCTAAAAGAATTAAATGAAGAAAGAGAAATATAAATGATTGTTTGAAGAATTAAATGTAGAGAGAGAATACTCCACTTTCACTCAATAACATTACACAACATCCATTCACACACAACCCAACCTATCCATATATCAACATCAAACAAATATAATCCATCATAACCATCAACCATAAAGATCAATATATTCATGACTTCTTACAGATTATCCTACTAACCATACACCAAGTACATAACCCAATATTTCCAAAACAACTATGTTCCCTCCATGATCAAGTATTCAAGTTTCTCGACTTCTCTCGACACAATGCACCAATTTTATACACCCACCTCCAGATTTCACCCTATATCACCTTATATATTATTCCACTCAATAATAACTCAAAAATAATATAATTTTTGAAACCCATAAAACTAGGTATTTCACTGTTAGGACGACATCAATATAACTAAAACAAAGAATCATTGCTTATTAACAACAAAACCGTGACCATTAGATAACCTCTGCACCTCTCCCATCAATCTTTATATCTTCAAAGAAAACTCCTTTAGCTTCCCTAGACTTATTTTATAGACCCAAAATTTAAAATCTGCACAATGAAAACCTTAGCCTGTAACCCTTTACCATTCTTATAATCCACCCATGCAACCCTAGAATATCATTTGCGTACTTTACCTATCAACAAGGGACGTAGCAGCACATGAACAACAACAATTTCATGCACTTGGTATTAACCATATTATGATTTCCCTCCCAAGGTAGGTACCACGAAAACCATTAAATGTCAATATCAAGAACCCCTTCTAGCTCTCTGGATTCCAACGTCTACACTATACAGGAAGAAAATATAATATTTCTCTTCGTCTTACCGTGACCCCCACATGCATTGAAACTCTTCACTTGCAAAAAGAAAACATGCACTCATATCATTATGTGATAACAATACATTACTCAACATTTATACTACTTCCATACATTTAATACCCATCAAACATTCCATGCAATTACAAAATAATAATTTATTATACCCATAAACCCATGTTGGTATCTTTATTGAGAACACAATCCATCACCAATGCACTCTATTGTCATATTTCACGCATACAACACGTTAACACTTCCTACTCTTATTTACATTCTTAACCTAGCCAATCCACGACTACCCTCCAAAGATTCACGATATGCACTTATCCCTTACTACAAAACCACATGCATTCTAATCCTTCAACCCGTGCATTCATATTCTGGGAATAACATCCCAAACCATTTTTTTCCTTAGCAACCCACAACCTTCCAATTGGGTATATTATCTATCCACACCGTTTCTCAAGATTAACAAGTTTCAAAGGAAACGCATCATGCTCAATCAATACATCAAAAAGTTAACTCCCTTCACCTAGGTTTTCCAGTGAATTCTTTAAAGGCTCATTGGTTCCTAGAAAATCTTGTGACTGCAACAAGGGCCCCTGCACAACTCCTTGGTACTCACAGTCTTCTCCCTATTACTCACTACGCTCAAGGTGGAGGACAAAAAGTGGTGGTTTCTCTCTTGCGCACTCTCTCGAGTTGTTTTGAAATGTAACTTAGGGTTGCTTCTTATTTTGCACATAAGTCGGCGGAGGCCACGCGTTCTTCCTCCCCCGCTGCCGCCGTCGTTGAGGATACCCAGCTAGTGGCTCCCCCGCGCCCTCGGGTCTCGCTGAACTCCCTCTAGTATCCACTGGGATACGTTGGTGCGGTTTCCCACCGGTCTCGGTCCGATAGTGGTTGCGACGACGTGATGAATGCATGGGGCCCTCTGATGCAAATGCAATGACGTTGTCATTCCATCATGATTAGAGAGTGATTTTGGACTAGGTTGAAGGATTTGTAGATGGTGTGGTTGCTGGGATTTGCACCTAACTTACGTCATTTATTTATTTTTAAATATTTACACAGTGCAACCTTTTCAAACGTGTCACGTATTCATCAAAGTACAACTCACTTAGGTTTGGCCATAGTAGCATTTAGATCATTATGTTTTTAACGGCGTGAGCGAAAAAGATCGGATTGAACATTTTTTAACAAAATATGAGGTCTTACTTAACTTTTTTAAAAAGTAGGATTACTTTGAACCAAACTCCAAAAAGTAGGGATCAAATGATGTATTAAACCTTAATTATATTTACTTGAATTCATAAAAAACATATTTTCCGTTATTTTATTTATTTAGTCGTAAAGTTTTTAATAACTTTTAATAGTGTATTGCTGATACTTTAAAAAATTGAAATCTAAGATGATTCCTGAAAAAAAATTATTTTTTATTTCAGAAAGTCTCGTTGCTAACATAGAATACCCGTTTCCATGATCTGATACTGATAAGATGACGTAAAACGAGGTTAAATTTCACTCTTCCTGATACGACAGAGCACTCATTCAGAACAAAATTAATACACTGTTTAGAGAAGATGATATTCCATTACCTACATAACAACCTATTAATTTTCTAAGATTCTTTTAGCAGTGATTGAAAGTGGTTATATTTTGAGGGTGATGAGATATACTTGTTACGAGAAGACAAGATAAAATTATTAAACAAATCAATATTTCATTAACAAATCATCAAAACAATACAAAAACATATTCATTTGTATCAATTTTCATCATCAATTATTCCCTGCAGCCCCCTCTTTTCCACATATATAAGGCTTAGTGGAACAAGGCAAAGAAAGACAAGACCGAGGCACCGACCAAGGAGCCAACAAGGGGCACGGTGGCTCCACTGACTGGGCCGGGAGCCGGGGCAGGAACTTCGGTGGCAGCCGCTACTGCGCTCATGGAGGCGGCGGCGATGAGGATGGCGCAAGTGACCTTCTTCATGTCCATGATGAGTTGAATATGATTTGTTTATGACCCGCTTGTGTGCTGATGAAACAGACAAATGTGTTGTTTTATTGCCTTACTTGCAGGTCTGAGGTACAACGATGGGTCTTGCATGGTATTTAAAAGAAGCGGGTTTCAGTTATTTTGGGAAAACTCTTGTTTTAGTTCATGGTCTTGCATGGTTTCAGGGCTTGTCGTAGCTTTCGGCTGAAATACATCGTACATGCGTTCTAATTAAAGGTTTCTCAACCTCATGTTGTGCTTTGACAACTTCTGATTAAACTACAACCATACATATTTTAACAACATCTCCAACGGAAAAACACAACTCACTTGAATAATATAATAATATTTTAAATTAAAAAGTAAAAAACTTAAAATATTACAAATGAGCACTTGTTCTAAGTATTATTTTGTGTATTTTTTTATTACTTTTCTTCTTTCATACATTACAATTGTGTGATTTTACTCTCGTAGGTTATAATTTTTAGATAGAAAGTAATTTTAGTTTTGTTAATAAATTATATTACACGTTCAAGTGAGAGAGGTTGACATTTCGACCTTGTTATCTTAAATTAAAAATTAACAAATAAAAAATGATTTTTTTGTTATTGTATTATTTGAATATGCAATAATAATATAAGTTAAATGATTAATATCTACAAATAAAGTTCTAATTATTACTTGAAGTATTGAGTATGTAAAACTAATATTTTTTTTAATTAAATTAATTGAAGACATTAGTTAATTTACTAAAATTTAAAAGAAATATACAATTAAAGGTATTTTTAATATATGATGGAGAATTGTTAACTGCTGTTGGACGAGATGTCAATGATCAAATGTTGTCTATTGCATATATTGTGGTTGAAGTGGAAAACAAAGATTCTTAGACCTAGTTTATGAAGTTATTGATTGATGACCTTGGTGCTCCTGAAGTATGTTCATCAATAGCTTTTATGTCAGACCAACAAAAGGTAATAGTGATCTATAATTTGGTATTTTCGTACATTGATTCATTAATTATAAGTGCTGCTAACCGCTCTTTATTGTTTTAAAACCACAGGGTCTACTTCTAGCTATACCAGAACTACTTCCTAGAGTTGACTAAAGATTTTGTGTCCAACACTTGTATGCCAACTTTAGGAAGAAATACCATGGCAAAAAACCTTAAGCGTCTAATGTGGACGACATTTGCAATCACACACCCACAAACATGAGAGATGGAGATGAGAAACATTAAAGAGCTTAATAAAGAGGCATTCTAGCATTTGATAGCCATTCCTCAAAGGTTTCTCTTCATAACTTAACTCTTTATTTTGTATTTCTTTATTGTTAACATTTGTTTACATCATATGTTGTAGATATTGGTCAAGGTCCAAATTCACTACAACAGCTAAATGTGACACCTTGGTGAACAACATGAGTGAAACATTCAACAATGTTTTGGTTCGTACCAGAAGTAAACCAATCATTACCATGTTGGAGGACATCCAGGATTACATCATGCAAAGAGCGGCAAGAAACAAGTCTAACATACAGTCCTTTGCAGGATCAATTTGTCCTAAGATCCATACCATATTTTGAAAGGAATCACAATTAACCAAACACTGAATTCCTATGTAAGTCCCATTTATTAGTTCTGAATTGTGTTCAATTATGTACTTGGTTCCTAAATATTGTTGTTGTTCTTTGTTGACAGCTGGTCAACTAATAAATTGTTTGAAGTTAGACACGTGTCCCAGAGTGGAGATAAGTTTGTCATCAACATAGACTGATGAGTGCATATTTATGCCTACATTTATGTTTTAAAATTCAAAATTTTGATGAGATTCTTATGCTTAAATGATTGATTAAAGTGAATTTGTGACCATTGAATTTATTGGGTTTGAGAATTAAAGATGCTTAAAATGTGATTCTTAGTTGCATAAATTATTTTTGATGTTCTAATGTTAATTTATGCAGCTAAAGTTAGAATTTTATTCATTTAAAGAAAGAAATTGAATGCAAAGCTGGTCCAATATGGTCAACTTAGGGCTCCTAAACAAATTTGAAAAGAAAGAAATAGCTAAAGTGCAATTAAAGAAAAATTCTAGACTTCTGTGCAATTTTAAATAAAATAAAAATGATTGAAATGTAATTTTGGACAAATTTAAATCTGATAGATATTTTAAAAGATAATTTGGAAAAATTATATTACAAAGATTTTGAATTTGTTGAAGCAGAAGAAAACATGGTAGAGCCGATGTAAGTAATGGGTAAACTTGATCCATTTCCAAGTTTAATGTGTTCTATACTAGTATAAGGAGTTTTGGATGAATAGTAGGTGACATCGTTGGTGATGTGATGAGAAGTAATGTTATCAGGATACCATAAGGGATCCATTATGTTGGACGAAGTTTAGAACGTGAACTTGTACTTCGGTTTAAAATTATCCTAAATAAAATTCTACAACTCGAAATATTGATGTTTCTAAAATATTGTCTACCTTTTTACTAATTTTGTTCAAATTTTTTCTTATTAGCATTTCAACCTAGATATAGCTGTAAAAGGAATTCACCCCTCTGAATTCACATCATCATAGCAAGTGAGCTCTTATACCATGTGAGAAAATTTGTGTGAAGAATTGTATTATATATGATAAAAGTTGTATGCAGGGAGAGAGAGAGAGAGAGCAGAGACTGCTTTATTAAAAAAAAAGTAAAGAGAGAAAGTGATGCAACCCATGCAAAGGACAAAGAAAACGGAAAAAGCGAAAAATAGAAAACCCTTAATAGAAAGGGTACGTATAACCACTATATTATAACACCAAGGATATTGCAAAACTATTCAACATATCTAGACCACTCCTTATGAAGCAACAAAGACACCATATTTGCACTACAGTCTTGTCCTCTCTCAGCGTCTTGCCACCGTTGCTATGTCAAGTCATGCACATCAGATGCCTGAAAGTGATTTCCCACCATCTAAAATGAATGAAAGAAAACAAAAATAACACCCTTTCAAATCGAGCAATGTGTGAAATGAAAATGTGAGATATGTATTATGTACATCGTTGATTTGAAATGAATAAAGTTTACTTGATCATTGTTAAAGGTAAATAAAAATTGTACTTTAATAGTTTTTGGGGAATAAAGTATCATAAATGGTAGGTACCAGATTTCCCTTCAACTGTAACGTAAGAAGCTCATTGAGGACACAATACCACCTTGCATCACTAGCTTTAATTAGCCAAGTGGGGTCACAAAAGCCTTAATCTAAACGGCATCATAGTAATGGAGAATGGTTAATGATTTAATGCACCACTTACCAACTTGACAAGGATAACCTTTCAACACAGTACGTCAAGTTCTATATAAACTCAACTCTTGACCCTGTCATTCAACTACTCAATTCACAAAACCAGTTCAATCCTTTTCAGTCATCTTGCTCACATTTTCACAGTAACATAACATTTCTGTGGAAATATGGCAAAACTTGGTGGCTTTCAAGCCCGCTTTTGGTTTGCAGTAATGATTTTGTGCATGTTTTACGTAACCAAAACTGTGGCACAGGATTCAGCAATAGCACCCACATCACAAATGGAGACTGGTGCAGGATCTGCTTTGTCTGTTTCTGAGGTGACCTTATATTCTTCTGTGTTGGCTTCTGTTGTGGCATTTATGATGCAGTGAACTGGAAGGCATTTGGGGTTGAAAATCTGTCACTTGCTGAGGAATATTCATGTTTGATTTGTCTTATGAGTTAAAATTATATACATACATGTTCATAATGAATTTGAAGTGTTGTTTCTCTTGAAAGATGTTGTTTTTGGCATTGTTGTAACATAGTGCTGCAATGAGTTACAGCTTATAATCCGTTAATGGTGTGAATAGATTTGGTGTAATTATATATTGATTCCATTATATGCATATCAGAAGAAATAAAGTTTTTTTTGTCTCTTTTATTAAACTATTTAATATATGTGAATTGGCTTCTTCATTGCTTCGAAGAACAGTGCAACTTTTGTGAGTAGTTTGATTTTGGAACAGAAGTTCAAGGTAAAGTTTAAATTATCATGGTGTTGACGATCAAAATGATTATATATTGAACAAGTTTAAAAAGTCAGATTGTTAAGAGATTTGCTGACAATCACCCACTACTAAGAAATGGTTTGGAATGAATTTTGTTAAAGAAAATATACAAATCAATTTTAAAATTAAAATCAAGGAAGAGTGTTAATTCTGAAAATAATATAACATCTAGTTAAATATAAGTAATTTTCTGGTTAAAAAATATACGTAATTTAGGAAAATCAATTTCAAAAGAAAGAGGGTGGTGTGAAAAGTAATAACCTATCAAGAAATATTCGTGTCTACTGTCCTCTGATAATAAGTGGGCCTATATGATGTGTAAAGAGTGATGCTCCCTCCACTATTCCATCTTCTCCCTACACCTTTCTAATATTTTTTAAATTCCAAATTTATCCTTTTTACCTTTTACTTTTATCAAATTTACTTTTTATTTTTTAAAACCCTAGTTCCAATCTCCTCTCACCTTCACTTTCCTTTTCACTCTCAGCAGCATGCCTCCCTCCACTGTCACTTTCTCTCTTTATCTTAATTTTCACTTTCGTTAACACAACATTTTTCATTTTCTTTCAAATTCCACGAGATTCACCGAACATCCAGTGATTATCGAAGAGAAGTTCAGCTCCTATGACCTAAACGGTTTGGTTTACAACGACAAAGGTTATCTCCTAGTGGTTCAGAGTTTCAAGTTTAAGCATAGATTTTAAGTTTGGTTATTTAAAGACAAGAAAGTGGGGAAGAGATTTTTAGTAGATTATATTATGGAATCATGATACTTCAAAACTCATCAGAAGTTATAAATGTTTTAAGTTAATACCATGCAAAATTTGTTTTTTCTGTTAAATTTTGTGTTAACGAAAGTGGAAATTAAGAGAGAGAAAAAATGACAGTAGGGGTGGAGGACTTGCTGGTGAGAGTGAAAGTGAAAGTGAAAGTGAGAGGAGATTAAAATTAGGGTTTCAAAAAATAAAAAGAAAAATTGGTAAAAGTAAAAAGGGTAAATTTAGAATTTAA